ACTAGTATTTTTTCCATATTGCTTCCTTCATGTTTAAAGGGGGGTATTAAAGAAGAAGGCCCACCCAATTTCCCACCCTCCCCAGGTCCCGGATGTAGGGTATGCTCTGAGGTTCTTGCTCAAGTGGTTTTGATATTTCAACAGTTAGATATTATGTTTACTTTTAAAAAGAGTCATTGAGTGACAGAGAGAAGGGGAGGGAGGTAGAGCAAGTTTCCAGTGACAGGATTATTTCCCAAGTGGCAGTAACAACCAGGACTGACCCACGCTTAAGCTTAGAACCAAGATCTACATCCTGATCTCCCACAAGGTGACAGGGGCCCAAGGATTTACGCCATCACCAATTACCTTCCCAGGTACTTTCACTATTAGTACTTGAACTAGCCAGGAGCTAGTTAAAAAGCATTGCAAGTAATAGTTTAACCCACTGTCATAACACCAGCCCTTAAGGAATTAAATTTAAAATAAAGTTTTATCTAGGCAATTCAGTGTTGACAAAGATTTTAGGAATATACATTATGTATATTGCATTAGATAACCATTCTTTAAGCTCTTTCTCAAGATTTTTACCTTTTTGAAAACTTGTCCCAGATGGCACAGTGTTACATGTGATGGTCAATTATACTCTAAAAACACAATTGCAACACTGATAATCAGGCAGGCTAAGTAACTGGATATATGATTTGATAACCTTCAACTAATTACACAACCAAATATAAGTTAGGGAACTTAATATAACGTAAACCTTTTGCAAAAGAACTGATTTTTGAGTTAATACCAGATTTAGAGCTCAGTTCCTCCACCTACATTTCAGGATGGGGCTGGAGGGGATTTGGCTGGCTGGCCTGAACTTGCTGTCAGCTTTTCTTCCCCTATTCAGTGTACTTAAGTGTTGCTCAGAACACAGCCAGCTAAGCTTCTTTTCTGTGGCCTGGTAGATACTTGCTAAATGCTACAAAGCATCATTACTATATTGCATATATATATATATACACATACGGTTTTCAAAAACAGGCAAAAATCTTGAAAAAGAGCTTAAAAAATAATTATCTAGTACAATGGATATATATATATAGAGAGAGAGATTATATATATGTGTGTATGTATATATATTTAGAATCTATACATACTCTAAAACCTTTGTTTTAGGAACCATATGCAAGAAAAACCTTTGATGAGTGTGAATGAAGCCAAGTTTAAATGATGCTTTTTGGGTGCCTGCACTGTGTTGTACAGAAGAAAACTGTTGCCTGTGGTGTCAACCATTCCATATGGGAGCCGGTTCAAGTCAGTGATGCTCCACTTCTGATCCAGTATACTGCTGATGGCCAAGGGAAACAGCAGAGGATGGCCTGAGAACTTAAATTCTTACACCCAGGTGGGAGACTTGGAAGAAGTCTCTGGCTCTCTGGCTTGGCCCAGCTCTGGCTTTGGGGCCCTTTGGGGTGTGAATCAGTGAAAACTCTCTGTAATTCTGCCTTTTAATGAAAATAAATAAATCTAAAGAGAGAGCCAGAGAGATGTTCTTCCACTTAATCAAGGCTTCATTCCATATCTGACGTGCCTGGCTTCAGTGGCCCAGTCTTTCCTTTATTGTCTCATTTCCATAGCCCCCACAGTATGAGAATCTGACCACCTTTTCAGCTGAAACTCATTCCAGTCTTTCAGACACTCTTGCTGCCTCTCCCTAAGCACCAAAACATTCAACCAGGAGAATGACACATTGTTCTCCTGGAATACCAGACAATGCTCCTCAACTGACAGGGGCCATGGAAGCCTTCAAGCTGTTACAAGGCAACTCACTTTTCAAAGGAATTCAGTGGGGCAAAAATGTACTCTTGAAAACAATATTCATGGGAAAACTACATTCACTTCCTTCCTACCCAGATCCTCTCAAATAATAGGAAGTGATGAGGAATCAATTGAGAATTCTGAGTTCTCTTGGGAAAAAAAGAAAACTTTCAAACAACACACAAACAAACCTTTAAAATGTACGTATTCAAAAGAGGAACATAAAATTCTTGGAAATCACCATGGTGTTTAAAATAACGATTAGATATCAAATCTTATTAAATATAACTATATTTAGAAAAGTGAAGTTATTCAAATACATTTTTGATTGCTTAGCCAAACCTTATAATGGGCCAGAATCTTCTAAATTTTTTCAAATAACAACGAATTTAAGGCTCATGTTGACCGAATAAGGCAGATCAGCTACAGAGGTGGAAACTGAGATACAAAGAGAGTAAACTATTGGTCCAAAAACCACCACGTGTAAGTGGCAAGACCAGGATTCAAGCCCTGGTGCTCTGGCTGCAGCTTTAAGCACATGTCAAATTTTTCTGGGGAAAAAAAAAACCCCACAATCGAGACAGCCCTTGGAGCTGTACGTGTTACCAGAAAGAGCCTACATTCTCTCTTCCAATGTGGATTTTATGTGTGTGGAACTTTCTGGAACACTCAAACTGCTGGTGCCACGCGGAAGGGTGAGGGGTCATTTGATAAAGTGATGAAGCTATTCTTGAGAAATTCTGAAAAGCCAGCATGCCATTTGAAAGGCAAACAGATGACGACACAGAGCAATCTTTTATCAGCTGATTCACACCCCAAACACACTCGAACAGCCAAGGCTGGACCAGCCAAAACCAGGAGCTTCAGTCTGGTCTCTCACGTAGGAGATGACCCTTCACCTGCTGCCATAAAGAGTATGCAGCATCAGGTAGCTGGACTCTGAGAGGTAGATTGCAGATGACTGGCCCAAGTACTAGCCCCACAAATATCTTTTAAGTAACAAGCCTCAAGAGTAGTGACTTTCAAAATGCAGTCAAGAATAACCTGGTAACTTTTAAAATATATATATATAATGGTTAAGCCTTTGAGAGTATAAATATAAAAGTCATGGTAGTTGATTAAGTAGACAAGTGAGAATTTACTATCATCTAGCCTTTTAAATATGCCTAAAGGTCAACTTGTACTCTTCTGTGACATTAAAACTGTTGAAAGGTGCTTGTAGATGGGTTTTTTGTACCATCAGGGTCCTGGAGGACTGAACGAGACCTTGGTGAGTGGCTGGGCAGGATAGAGTTCATCGTAAGTGGAAGCAGCCAGCAGGGTCATAACCTGTTGGTGCCAGGGCAGATTTTGACATACTATGACTAATAGGTGAAAGTGAGGCAACTGCCTGAGGGTTGACATGGAAATCAGCCTATTTGCAATATAAAAGCAGTGGTTGACTTAGTGAATAGTTAACCTCATTTGTTTAATTATCACTCGTACTTTCTCAAAGAAGACCCATTTTCAAATGTATTTTCCGTTCTGTTATAAATTACTGTAAAGAGGAAAGAGTACAAATAATTTTTTTTTCAAGAATCCTGCCTATATGAGGCCAGGCTTTCTGTTCAGTATCATGACCAAGTAAAACTAATGTCCTATTTTAAACTGGCAGGATTCTAAGACATATTAAAATGTGATCATTTGAAAGAAATGGACAGAAAACTTCCTTAACTCACTCTATTTGTAAAACCCAGTATACATTTTTAAACAAATTTAGTCTTTTAGAAATTTTTGATTAAATAAATATCTTACACATAGTTTTTATGTACAAAATATTGAGCTAAACAATCTCGCTATCTTAACATAGAACTTGAATTTTCATGTAACCCATTTTCTAAATGTCATGAATAATCCTAGATACTTTCTTTAGCGATCCAGCATCTTTCTTTGATGACAAAGAAGAAATGAATCCGATACAACCTTATCATTCCTCGTAGGATTAGTTATAAAACATGTGAAAGGAAGTTGTGATTGCTGTAAGGTTAGGATAGGGGACTCCTCCTCAGCCTCCTCATGGTAAGCCTTTATGCAGAACTTCCAGGCTGCCTGGGGCACTCTGGCGTGGGAATAGATCCTTATACAAATGGATACAGGAGTCCTTACTAAAGCAACTGATTTCTCTGCTTCCTGACATTTTCTGGAAGGCAATAGTGAAACTACAGAAGCCAGAAGTTGTTCTGATGGTACAGTGAGAATCTTCTTTCAGACACAGCAGAGACTCTACATGAAAAGAGACTAAAAAGTGTAACAAATTCTGTTTTTATTCATTCTTTCTGTATTTAAGTGCAGTGAGCACTGGTGGGAAGGATCATTGTATTCACAGAGTGTCTGGCACATGCAAGGCTTGGGAGAGCTTGCCACACAATTATCTGCTGAAGGAATGAATGAATGAATGAATGACCTCTAAATCTGAGCTGGCTGTTCCAGAAACAGGATGAACACTGAAAGCTTGCCGGTCATTGTTGGTTGCCTCATTTGAATTGTTTCCTCACTAGCTTAAGGAGGCAGAAACGGGGGGTATCTGCATCACGTCACTAGATGGTCCCCAGACTCCGCCAAACAGATAAGAAATGTCAACAGCTGAGCCTGGTAGCTTTCAAAAATAGCATAGTTGATGAAACTAGAAATTTAGGTGCCCAAGGGAAAGAAGCTATTTGTCTTTAGTCTTAAAAAGAATAAACTGGCAGTGGATAGTCCTACTGCAAGATGTAAAACATTTTTTTAATATCCATATGAGCAAGTAAGTATATGTCACAAGAATATGCTTCCTTCTCAATACAGCACACATAAGACCATTGTATTTTCAGCTGTCCAGGTAAATCATTTAGCAGACTTGAAGACTAAGTCCAGGTGCTGTGTTGCTTTAAGATTACAGGCGGGCTGGTTTTATGTTTTCAATCGTGCTGGCAGTTCTCCTCAAAATTTAAGCGAATATTTGTACAATGAACCAAGTTGCCGTGGGTTTCCTGGTTCCCCACCACCACCTCCCGCAGCCCCCTGCGGGGTGGGGGGTGGTGATTCTGGCTAGGCATTTTCATCTCATTGCAGACAAGTCTGACTGTTGTTGATGCTGAAAATAGCTCAAACGCTCCCAGAACGGTAGCACCACCCAGCAGCTGGGATTCTTTCCCTGTCTTACTTGCCCTCTCTGCCTTTTTTTTCCTTAGACACTTGGATTGGACTTAATCTTAAACCTCTGGAGTTCAAGACCTTTTAAAAAGGGCTAAATAAACAATCTCTACATGTAAAAGGCCACTGACTCCTACTTCCTCTGTGGAGAGCCACTGTGGAATTCAGCAGCCTGTGGGTAAGGTTTTTATTCTGGAATTATTTAATTGTTTTTCGATTCGCTCATGATCAATGTTTATCAAAATAACTTAATGATAGTGAAAACCAGGGAGGGCTACGAACGATTTCCAGGTAACTACCGTGTTCCAGAACACAGCGGTAGCATCTGAGTGTTTTTGTGGCTATAATTTTAAACTTTGCTCAAAGCTCTCTGTAATAGTGACCTGCAGTAGACCTGACTATGACTGAGCGCTGGCTCAGAGCTCTAATTAAGCCTCATTGCCAGAGCAGCCAGCGGCCTTTCAGACATCATAATTTTGTTGTTTAGACTGTGCTCTTATTTTTAACGTTCTAAGGATATGTTTTTTAAAAGGGAAAAAAATGCAATCACCTGAATAAAGGAAATACATTAGTAATTGTTCCTTAAAGACAAAGTTATCCTATGCTCTTCTTTCATCACTACTTTGTCAATGGCTAGGATGGGCTCAAGACAGACATTTTCGTGGGCAAGGGAGCGGGGAGGGAAGCACAGATTTTTTTTTTTTTTTAACATCTTTGTTGTTTTGTGTATCCTTAGCACAATTTCTGTGCCTCAGCTTTGAGAATTCCTCACTCAGGTTGAATCTTTCCCACACTGATTGTTTGCCAGGTGCATTTGCTGACAAGTTTCTCTAACGTGACAAAAAGATATTTTGGATAGTTTTCCATGCCTCCCCTCTCTCCCTTCCTTTGCTTGTACTTGACATTTTGCAAAGTACTTTGATCTGTGGACTTTAACTTCAAACATAGCATTTACTTTGATTGTGGGTATTTACTATGTTCGGTTAAAAGCCTTTTTTTTTTCCTTCTTGGTTTAATGCTTTGATAGTGTTTCTTTTAAATAATTTATTGGGGCTTTGCTCTTTCTCACAGATGAGTCTTAGACTTTGCTTCTATGAGAAAACTCAGCCAAGAGTAAAGGAGGTTCTGGCAAGTTTTTTTTACCACCTAGACTCTGTGACAACCCACTGCTCTCTTCCCAGCAGATGTCGGAAAGCAAGCAGCAAATGACAGCAGGCAGAACCCGGTTGGATTCTGTCACCCCCTCTCTTGAAAGTCCTGCTTCTCAAAATTACAAGGCACAAGACATGTGCCTTGTTGCTTTTCTTAGCATCAACACTAACATCCTTCAAGTTTAGATTCTCTTCCCCCTGCCCCTAGCAAAGGAGCTCATTGCTATCACAAATCACATGTCAAAAGAAAACATGCATTTTAAACTCTTATTGATTTTCTGTGTAACCAAGAATGTTTTAAAAAGGAAAAAAAAAACACAGCAAACCTCAGTAGTCAATGATGTGTCACAATAGTAAAATTTCTGCTGTGAGGGATAAAGGATGAAAAAACAAAACAAAGAAAAAAAAACCTGTATTACGTAAAATGTGCAAATTATACCACTTACTACTCATTCATCCACCTGAAACTGTTCTCTTTAGTAAAGCTCATATGTATTTTGCATTTGTTTGCTACATTTTGTCTTCTGTCCTAAGTTCAGGGCATTTTTAAGGACCTCAGCCTGATACTAGATCTGATACAGCCCAGCAGAACTGCGTTCCTGTGTGTTCCGTTGAAGGTAGCAGTAGAATGGGTCTAATCCTGTCAGGGGACAGTTTAAGTGCCAGTCAATGACAGTGGTTCCATCAGCTGCCACAGTCTGATTCCTGTACTCTGCACCTTGCTGGAATGACAGGAAGCAAGTGGCCACAGAACCAGATTTCAAAAGGGTGGGAGCTGTGGAGAATGCAGTGGGAGAGATCGCCCCCAACCCCTGCCTTAAGTTAGGGGCACATGCAATATGATCTCTAGACTGCGTGGATACAGAAAAATCCATGTGGGCATTTGCTGTAGCAGTGGACCTCACTTGAGATGCCTCATCTGGGAGTGCCTCAGTGAGAGTCCCGGCTCCCCTCCTCATTTCCAGTTTCCTGTTAACGTGCATCTGGGGAGGTGGCACGTGATAGCTGAAGTGACTGAGCACCTGCCATGCCTGTGGTAGATCTAGGCTGAGTTTCGGTGTGGCTCAACTCAAGCTTTGGTGGGCATTTTGGGAGTGAATCAGCAGAAGGGGAATCTCTGTCTTCCTGACTCTTTTTGCCTTTCAAATAAGTTTAAATAAATATTTTTAGATGTTTAGAAAGCATGAGATGTTCAGTCTAATTTTTTTTTTAATTTCTAAAACATGGCTAGTTGCCTTCCCCACTTCAACTTTACATTGTAAAGAGTGTTTTCATCATCACATTTTTTGTGTAACAGTCAGCATTTTAAATCCTTCATTTACGTTAGGCATGTACTTTTGGCGTTCAGAAAACTCTCTCCATCAGAAACCTTGGCTCAGCAGTGTCAAGTGCAAATGCAGTGCTAAAGGAACTACAAGTTGAATTGCAAAATCAAATGGCACAAAGACCAAATCCATTCAGAAAATGGTAGACAGCATTCTGTTGCCTTTCCACTGCCACCCCCCACAACTTCTGTCCTTAGCCTTTTTCTCTTGCTTTTCACCCCTTTAATTTTACTTTGAAACCTTGGATTGTTTGGATGTGAAACTCAAGGAGGAACCCAGCCAAAGCCACTGAGTTTCACACAGGTTCCACATGAAAGAAGTATTCTACCCAGGCTTGCTCGAAACTTGGCCCATGTTTGCCAAGGTTTCATGAATGTCAGTGAGCCCGGATTTGAAACATAATCCAAAGCCAGGTGACTTCTGGTGGCTTTGCGGCTTCATTGTATAAGTATGGAAACTGTCATACAAGGACATTCCTTATTTCCATAATTTTTACTGTAACTTCATGTGGACACATATTTTTTCCTCCAATAAACTGCCATTTGTTTTATGATAGTTTAAAGCCAAGTTCAATCCTGATGTGAGTTTTTATAGCTGTGGTATTTAAGCATTGGCAAATAGAAGGCTACATTTTAAATTCCAACACAGCCTAAACCACAGTGGTGTGAACATGTTGGCATAATTTAGCTGAAGGAAGGAAGTCCCAGGAGAGCCATGGAATGTCTTTCTATGCTTCAATTTAGCCCTGTGCTCGTGAGGAACAAACAGTAACATTTTGTCCAGGTCTATCCGCTTGACAGTGTGCCTTTTGTTCATTCTCTAAAGGTGGTGTCAAATATATTGCTGGAAAAATAATAAACTTCCAGATTTTTTGTCACCTATATTACTGGTGTACTCCTAGGGCACATTGTAAACATTGAAAAGTACAATACTATGACTTGTGATATAGTGTATATCAAGAATAAATGAGTCCCTGGCAGAGATAATAATCAGAAAAGCTTGGCAGCCTAGAGCTGATATATGTGCTAACAGTCAAATGGGATCTGGTTCTCAAGTGTGTGTGTGTGTGTGTGTGTGTGTGTGTGTGTGTGTGTGTGTATTGGTGGGGGCAGAGCAGGTGGAGAAGTGGAGAGGAACAGAGGGGAAAAGAGGATTTGTCAGTTTTTTCAGCAAAAATGTCACATCAAAACTAAAATAATAAAATCCAGGATTTCAAAACATGCTTCTGTTTTGTTGATCATATAAATTTGTGTGGATTGAGCACTGGCATCTTTTTGGTATTGCTTTTCTCATTAAAAATTCCCAAGTATTAGGGTTCTAGCCAGAGTAAATAATATACAGTTAAAATATGACCAATTGGGAGAGACTTAAAAACTTGTAGATGAATTTACATGAGTCAGTCTCTGAAAAAACTTGATGAGCTCATGGCTACTATAAGTTATAAGTCACCAAGGACGCTAAGATTCAATTTGCCCTTTTCTTAGTAGGAGGATTTCTAAATTCTCTTGATGAATTGTCATAAAAGCAAATCTGTAACCTCGATAAAGACTTAAGCAAATTAAACTTGAGATCTATAGTGTACACATACTAAAACATGAATTTGTCATCAAATTTCATGTTGAAACTTTGATAGTCATATTTCTGTTTTGTCAAAGATGCAGTTTTAAGTTTAGCAGGTGGACTTGCAAAATAACCATGGTTGATCCCATCCTTGGGTAAAGCATTTAAAAATCAGGAACAACTAACCTGGAGGTCCTGAACATGGGAGCTTTATTTTAACAGCAGCTTCACCATTCAAACCATAGCGTTTATCAGCATATCTGATTTTGATGTCCCCAAATTGAGTTTAATAAACAGAGAAAAGGAAGATCCCTAAATGGAGACGGTAGAAAAAGCAAGAAAAAAATTCAGAACCTCCTAAAAGGAAATTCTTCCCATCACCTGTTTGTTTCCTAGTGTGAATTATTTAAGTCATTAAATTCAGCTTTCCTATTTTGTGCACAAGAATATTCTTTGAATTTTAATACAAACTATTTATAACTTACATTGAAACAAAATATTCATTTTAATTTTTAAAATAATTTTTGAGATTTGTTTTATTTTTAATGGATAGTCAGATATACAGAGAGAAGGAGAGGCAGAAAAAGATTTTCCATCCTCTGGTTCACTCCCCAAGTGGCCACAATGGCCAGAACTGAGCTGATCCAAAGTCAGGAGCCGGGAGCTTCTTCTGGGTCTCCCGTGCACATGCACGGGCCCAAGATTTGGGACCATCCTCTACTGCTTTCCCAGACCACAAGCAGGGAGTTTGATGAGAAGTGGAGTAGCCAGGACACAAACCAGCACCCGTATAAGATCCTGATGCTTGGGCCCGGCGCAGTGGCGCAAGTGGTTAAGTCCTCGCCTTGCACGCCCGGGATCCCATATGGTCGCCGGGCATAGTATTGGCCGTTGTGCTCACTTGGGGAGTGAATCATCGGACGGAAGATCTTCCTCTCTGTCTCTCCTCTCTGTATATCTGCTTACCCAATGGTTTATTTTAGAACAACTTTAAATTTACTGAGAAATTATGATAGGATAACAGTTTTCCTATGCTCCATACAAATGTTCTTCTACAATTAATATCATAGATATCATAATATATCTTTGTTAAAATTGATAGGTCCATATCCATAGATTATAATTAACTAAACTCCACAGTG